TGTCTGCATCAAAGTTTGGGATCATTCACTTTTAAGTTTGTCTAGGTATGGGTCACTGAAAACTTTTCAGTCTCTTTCAGGGTTATTGATATATTTAGGTTTTCTTTTTAAATCAGTTTGAATAATTTATATTTTTCCATTTCATTGAAGATTCAAAAATATTACCATACAGTTGTATATCATATTCTTACAATGTTTTAAATCCCACTTGTGTCTCATTTCTCCTGTTTTAGGAAATTTACCAAAGGATTTGTCTATTTAGTAAGTTTATTCACTTTTTCAAAGAACAAGCTCTTGGATTCATTTATAAATTCTACTGTTTTTCTGTTTTCTCGGAAGATTACTTTCTAATAAACAGGTATCCTAGATTCTTTTAGCTTTGCAGGACCCAGGCTCACCTTCTTTTTATGTAGTAACTGTCTTTCTGAAAAGTTGCATATTAGTGACATTTTTATAAATGGAATTATGCTCTCCGTTGATTTGCATTTTCATTTCACAGGCTCTTTATTTTCTTTTCTTTAATCTTCAATGATCAGTAGTTTATGTGTCTCTAAATAAACTCTGTGACACCAGGGAGCCCTGATGTTTAAACAAATATGGAGCAAATTATTTATTTGAATTGCTGCCTCCAGTATCTTTGTTTTTATGTAATAGGTGTTCTTAAAGTGGGATACAAATATAATTGAGCATATTTACCTTTTACGTTTTGTTTATTCCTGTACATGCCTGTTCTCATCACTTATCACTAATCTCAGTTTATGAGAAAAGGATAAAGCAGCTCATCTATAGATTAGTTCTTTTATATCGTTCATGCAACACACTAACCTTTATGGGGATGGGCTTTGTTAATCAAGAGGTAATTTTTCCCACTTGCTTTTGTGATTAGAGGAACTTGGTTTCAAGATGACTGGTGACTCTGGAGGGCCCAGTTCAGAGTGGGGAAACAAAGGCCACTAGTCCTGTTCTTGAATAGGTGGCCTTGCCCTTGGAACCATGGGGTCACCAGGGAGCCTTCAGTTAACACATCATTTGTGAAAGGACCCAAGTGCATGTCCCCTGCAGAATGCAGGAGCCAAGAACTAGACAGGATGTCTTTTTTTTGGCCTTGAGCTAACATCTGCTGCCAATCCTCCTCTTTTTGCTGAGGAAGACTGGCCCTGAGCTAACATCCGTGCCCATCTTCCTCTACTTTATATGTGGGACGCCTGCCACAGCATGGCTTGACAAGCTGTGCATAGGCCCACAGCTGGGAGCCAAACCAGCGAACCCCGGGCCGCTGAAGTGGAATGTGCCAACTTAACTGGGCCCGTGCCAGACAGGGTGTCTTGATGGCCAGCATCAATAGTGGGTGTGAGGCGCAGCTGAGGCTCACAGTGTTCTGTCTGGCAGGGCTTCATGTTATATTTCACTCTCGTTTCCCTTGTTACTCGTGGCCAGGGTCACAAGAAACAGTTGAGTCACTGCCTTCCTCCTGGGATTCTGGGTCTCTTGGTCCATCCCTTCCTCTCAGGTTTGCACTGGCATTTTCCCCTTATGTTGACACTGAGGCTGCTTTCTTAAGGCTGGTAATAAACCTCTCTCAATGAGTTGGAACGGGGCCTGGGCTAGAGGGCATTTGAAGGCAATCTCAGTGTTAGACTCCACAGCTCCTCACTCCTCCTGCTCCCCCAGCCGGTGCTTGTTGGATCAAGCACAAAGCACATGCACAGAATTTATGGCTTCCTCTTTGAGAGTTTCCATCTCAGTCTGGGGCTTCTTCTCCCTCTCCTGGGAGCCCTGAAGATTCCCAGGCAAATTGCACACCTGGTGGTCTGCCTTGATAGGACCCCGGATTCCTTAGGTGAGTAGCAGATGAACAGCCTATTAGGGAGATTTGAGGGCCATTTATGTCCTTTATCGCTTTGCATCCTATTTACATACATAACTTGCTTTTGCTTGGGCTATTTCTAAATCACTCTTTCATTCCCTGAGTGGGAGTTGGGAGAGAGGCGGAGAGAAGGCACCCCATGCCTCAAGAATATCATGGAAAACCCAGCACCTTATCATCCTTCTTCTAGATGATATTTCATTTGAATACTTGAGATTTGCTTACCATTAAGTTCTCTTATCTTTAGAAGCCCATCTTTTCTGCTCCCTTTCCCTCCTCTCATTTTCAACCACAGTCTGCTATACCCACAGGCTTCCTAGAGAAATAAAGAATCAGTAGGAGCTGATTGGAATTTTTCAAATGCATGGAAACAGCAGGACGCGTTAAGCCGTGATTGGGTGTGCTCGTCCCTGGCAGTGGCTTGTATCAGACAAGGGTGTGTGCTTGCGTGCGTGCTTTCCCCTCTTCCTGATTATTGCCCTCTAATTAGCCCTGTGCCACCCCAGAATTGATTTCCCCTCAAAATGTTGAGGGTGAAAGGGGTAGGTTAGTTAGAGCTTTCAAGTAAACGGTTTATCACCACAGCTCATTGGCAGCGATTAAAATGCAAATCCTCTCACTCAGTAGGTAGAATGGGGCTTTGATATATCCTTCTGTTGGGTGGTGGTTGGAGGGGCAGAATCAACAGCTGATTTAGTAATGAGGGCTCATCCGCAGAAATTGCTTCATTTCTGTGCCCTCAGGCAGGTCTGTGGAGGAAGCACTGAATTTTGGGAAATGGAACCAGGGCACCTTGAAGAAAGAGCTGGCTCTGCCCGACAGTCAGGCCTGGGTGGTGTGGACGAATTGCTCAGGCAGAGAAGGCTTCTCTCCTGCAGCATCCTCGTGAGTGTATGGGAGTTAATGATGAAAACTCATCTTGCCCAAAGGGTGAGGATATGAGAACCCTGCCTCGAAGGGGAAGTTCTGAGGGCTGTTCTTCAGGGAAAGATCTCCTGCCACAGGTTCTTACCTTCCTAGCTTCCTTTCTCCTATGTCAACCAAATTCTGTAGCCGTGCCTTTTCAGTTAACTTCAACAGTGATTTCCAAAGGGGCCGTGAATGGGTTTAAGTTGTAGTTTAAACTGTATGCCGTACAGCGTTTGTTTGTGTCAAGAAATCAGACAAGGATGATTTGTAGAAATTTTCCAAAACATGAGGGAGGATTTTTGGTCTAGAGCTGTGCCGTCTGTGACTGTAGCCATCGGCCACATGTGGCTTATGAGCCCTTGAAATGTGGTCAGTTCAAATTGAGATGTACAGTAAAGATAATATGTACATTGGATTTTGAAGAATTAGAAGAAAGGAATGTAAAATAACTTATTCATAATTTAATATTGATTCCATGTTAAAACATTGTTTTGGATATATCAAAATAAATAAAATACTAAAATTAATAAAACTTTTTTTTTTGCTTTCTAAAATGTGGCTACTAGTAACTTTAAAATTATAAATGTGTCTCATAGTGTTTTGATTAGACAGTGATGGACAGGATTTCATCATAATTCTCCTGTCTGCATAGGATTGCTTTTTCCCACTAGAGGGAGATATGTTCCAGCTTCAGGAAGTCTGGAGCTTAGCATATAAACTTTATGGCTTCCGAATGTACTCTTCAAAAAGAAGAAAAAAAAATAATTCAGGTTTCTGCTTTGTTTCAATTCTGCATCATGATGTTTCTTGAGGTTGTACTTTGTATGAAAGTGAAGCCAAAACAGAAGAGGCAGAAGGCAGAGAAGTCTCCTACCCTCTCTGCTTTAGTGCACGAGGGGTTCCTGTCACTTCTTGGTTGGATTGCAGTAGCTTGCTTTGTTTGTGGGCTGTACCCTGGCACTTGAGTCTGTGCACAACACAGCATGCACACACATACAGGATGTGGCCTGTGTGCAGTTGTAACAGACAGGACCAGGGCTCTGCTGCAGTCACACACCTGCACGGCACCTCCTGGACCGTGTGGAGTGCAATGGGAATGTGTCCCGGAGTTGTGCTGTGTGGTACCCCAGGCCAGTGCTCCCCTCTCTGTTGTTGCTTGGGGGCAGTGTCGCCTGTGTTTTGAGGCTGGGGCTGCTGTTTGCATCTAGCGTGTGTGAATCTGCCCCTTGATTCTACTCTGAACCCAGCATCATTTCATGATTATGTTGGAGTGACAGCATACTCTCCTGGTTTTCCTTGGGTCCTTCTGGGTAGCTCCCTTTTGGTCTTCTGTGGTCTTCTTATATATTTGTTGGTCTGATCAACGCTGATTTTCCCTTTTCTTGTCTATGCCCTTAGTGATCCCAGCTATTCTGGAGGCTTCATTATTACCCTTATACTGAAGACTCCTAAATCTTTATCTCCAACTTAGGACACTCTCTTGAGCTACATCTATACCCATCCAGCTGCCTACTGGGCATCATGTAGACACTCCAAAATTCAGCCCCCATAGCACTCCTTAGTTCCCACAGCATGGCACTCCTCAGCACTATCATACTTTCTTATTATTTGCTCATCTATCTTTTGCAGTGTTCAGTAAGTTCTAGCAGGACAAACGCCATCCCCATCTTGCTGCGTTTCATTCCTAATATCTCACACCATGCCTGGTTATTGTAGACCCTCAAGAAGTATTTGAATGAACATTTTGTTCTATCTTTTGTTTTAAATCAATTGTATTGTTTACTTATAAACATTCTCATTACCATTATATGACTCCATCTTATAATCTTGTTAGCATTATGTCATATCATGGGGCTGTGATCACCATCATCTTTTGGCATGGTCTATTTAAAAAGCTTTTCACCACCTGTACTAGTGGGGCATTTGCACTAATGCCTCCCATGATTCCCTGTGCTGGAGGCTTTTTCTCTTGACTGGTCTGCTTTTGTGACCCTTATTACAAATTGAAGGGGACATTTCCATCAGCCCCACCACAAGTTTCCAGGAATTTAGATCACAGAAAACTGGAGCAGAAGGTCAAGGAGTGTGACATGTTTCCATGGCTGGAGCTCAGTCCACAGGCAGCTTTTCCAGGACGTATTCCAATTCCTTTTAGTGCCTCTGCTATTAAACCAACCCAGTTTTATTTAGATTTGTGACTAATGGACACTGTTTCTCTTGTCAGAACATGAAGAGGAACTGGACCAAGAATTTGAGCTGGAGACTGACACTTTATTTGGAGGATTAAAGAAGGTACAAAGTGGATAAATGATAACCCTTCTCAAGTTTCAAACCTGGTTTCAATAGTTTGCATCACTTTTGTATTTGGCATTGACCCAGGTATAGTATTCAGCAACAAGTGAGGATGAAGGACCTTTCTTGTGGTAAAGGTATGTAAGTGTGCCTGTTGAGTAAGGCATTCCCCATGCTCTTTATCTTGTTGCCCCCTGTTCTCTTCTCAAGACGCCAGAAATCTGATTATGTAACCTTATCACTTCATACGTATTTCACTTTTGTAAAGTTCAGGAAGTTCCTTCCTGACCTAACCATATCTACTAGAATCAAATGTGGCCCCTGGGCACTCCCTATACCAACTGTTGGCAACTATAGGAACCACTTCCTTCCTGCCTCTAAGTGCCCCTGGCCATCCGTACCACTGCAGAGCATTCTGGGAATCCCCTCCCTGGTTCTGTGGTGGCAGTAGGCTGGCTCATTTATTTTCTGGGCAGCCCATTGTGTCTGCTGAGGTAGCAGGCAGGGTGGCTGCTGTTCTGTCATGTACCTTGTGCCCTTCTAGATGTGACAATTAGCACTGCTGTTCTTTAGAGTATGTCGTGGGTAGGTACCAGGTCCTCCTTTTCCAGATGCAAGATGCTAGACTACTTTTTTCTTCCACCAGAACCTCTTTCCTCTTGAGGCTGGGGTTCATCTCATTCTTCCCCTTTCAGTTTCCCAGGACCCCATTTCAGTAAGGTCTTGCATCAAAGGATGTCCAGGCTCCAGCTCATGGTTCTGGGTCCAGGTCAAGGCTAGTGATGAGTGGTCTATTGGTTTTTCTAAGCGTTTTGATATATTTTAAAAATGATATCAGAACATTGCTTTTTACTATTTTCACTCTAAGTGTGTAGTGTACCAGATATATTATAAATTCAGTCAGCTTTTGTGGGCTGGTTTGGGACTTAAAATAATGCTTGCATTCCAAGTTCTGAACTTGGACTTACAAACTTACCGACTTACAAAGGAACTTTGGGAAGACAATTCATTTCCAAGCTGGGCACTGCCTATACTGATATTTTTCTCCTTTGAGAGTTGCAGATCTTGCTTAGAATTGTAGCATTGACTTCAACTTCTGTTTTGATTTTCTAGGGTAACCTGTCCTTTGTTTCCAGCTCTGGCTTTGTATAGAGCTACGATGTTAGATAGAAGTCCCATGTTTGTCTGGGACTGGGAGGAGTGTCCTGCCCTGTGTGGGGCACCACTGCTGGCTTTTGTTGCTCTGCCCACCAGATGTTTCCATGAAAAGATGGATGTAAATTGAATTTCCATTTTCTGAGGCATTTGTAAGTGTTTCTGATTTAAATAAGCTCTTTTTAGGATTATTAGTAAGACTTATAAGGTGGGTGGTATTGTGCTGTCTTCAGAGATGAGGAAATTTGGGAAGCTTCATGTGACAGTGGAATTTGAGATGGAGCAGGAGATAGCCTTTTTGAGTGTCTGGGATCTACTTTTTTGAAATATACCATCATTGGATCTCTTACAGCAGAAGAAAATAGTGATCCTTCTTTCTTTTAGAGTCACAGGCATTTCAGATAGTACTGAATTGTTTGCCAAGGGCAAAAATAAGCAAACCCATTTTAGCCTGAGACTTTTAGCTCTTGTAGAGAAGAAACTGTGAGGCAGTGTGAGAAGCTGAACAGAGGGTCAGGCCCCGACAAGTTTTGGAGCTACCACAGATTTCATTATCAAGGGGTGGGCTCAGCCCTGCCCAGTGTTGCTACTTCTAGACAAAGGGGCTTTGTCTTTGCTGACTTCCCAGCTCCTGTTACTCCACTCTTTTGGCAACTTGAAAAATCTGTCTCTGCTCATCCATTGTCTGTCTGACCATCCATCCATCTATTGGGGGCTACCTCCTGTTGTCCTCATCTTTCTTTTTCTTTTTTTTTGAGGAAGATTAACCCTGAGCTAACATCTGCTGCCAATCCTCCTCTTTTTGCTGAGGAATACTGGCCCTGAGCTAACATCCGTGCCCATCTTCCTCCACTTTATATGTGGGACGCCTACCACAGCGTGGCTTGCCAAGCGGTGCCATGTCTGCACCTGGGATCCCTACTGGTGAGCCCTGGGCCGCTGAAGCGGAACATGTGCACTTAACTGCTGCACCACCGGGCCAGCCCCTGTCCTCATCTTTCTCTGTCTCATTGCCTTGCATATGGGATGGGTAGTTTGGAGTCCTGGAATTTAGAGGGAAAACTGCATCCTGGTGGATAGCCCACAAATGAAGGAAATTGATACTGTGTGATATTTGGTGAAGATCATACAGGCCCAGGGGCCATATGTAGCACTAGGGAGCTCACTGATGTCTGTTGAAAGTCTTATTTTGGCTAAAATAGAAGGCAGATAGGTTCTGGACACTCCTTGCTGAATAGTTCTTTTCTTAGAGCTTATGGGAGATGGCAAGCAAATGCTACTCTGATCCAAATTCTAATCGAAAGAAGATATTTGGCACGATTAGAAATCGTGAACTTTGGAAGAAAGCTGTAATGTTCTCTGACCAGTCCATCCTTGAATGTTAGGCTGCAGTAGGGTTGCTAAACCTCAGCACTACTGACATTGTAGGTCAGATAATTCTCTGTTGTGGGGGTGGGGGCTGTTCTGTACGTTGTAGGCTGTTTAGCAGCATCCCTAGCCTCTCGTAGTTGCCAGGAGCAGCTGCTACCCCAAGTCAGGACAATCAAAAATGTCTCCAGGCATTCCTGCATGCCCCCTAGGGCGCAAAATCACCCCTCTTTGAGAACAACTGGTCTGCAGTAATATTTAGGGGCTTTGCCCCCACTGCCTTTGTCACGCTGATGCCATTTCTTACCTTTGCTCATGCTCTCGCCCCTTCTCGATTGGCCTCACTCCTTCCCTGTGTGGTCCTTACTCTCACATCCCAGCCCAGGGGTCTCCTTGTCACTGAAGCATCGCCTGGACCTCTCAGTTGGACTTAGTGCTCATAGTTCCTGACACTTCCCTGCCTGTTTATCTCGTTCCACAGATACTGCTTTCAGTGAGTGTGTTCCTTTGCCCAAGTCTGTATTGAGTGCTGGGGACACAGTAGTGAACCAGACAGATAAGGTTACTGTCCTTGTGTCTCTTAGTGGGGACAGACCGACAGTAAATAAATGAACAAACCGAACAGTGAGAGAGTGAGCTAAATGATATGAAGGAAATAAACAGGGTGATATGATACTAATGCTTCGGATCGCATCTTGTACTCTATTATGATATTTGTACAGCTTTATTTTGTATTGTCTATCATCCACTAGACTGAGTCCCACAAGGACAGGGCTGGGATTTAATCATTCCTGTATCTTCAGTGCCTTGAACAGAGTAGGTGAGTATTTTATTGAATTTAACTGCAGCAAAGAGTGAATAACACTATGCCAGGTTGCAACATTGGAGTCAGGTGCATTAGTCCTAAGTGTATCTAGATAGACGTGTAGGTAAATGCTAAGTGGGACAGTGTTTGTAGTCAGAGCAGGGGGAGACCATTGTGGGTACAGACAATCACCAGCCACCTCTGAGGGAGGAGGTTGACCTTCAGCTGAGCTCCACAGCATGGGTGGGATTTGGCAAGATTATCGGTAGAGGGGATGCTGTTCCAGAGAGGCTCGTTGTGATTGGAAAAGGGAAGGCAGTATTAGGAAGATGGTGACTCAAGGTGAAACTTCATTTAGGACAGTGAAAGGGAGCTGGGCCTGCCCACATTTCTCTAATTTTTGATGATGTTAGAGTTTGGAGGATTATAACCCAAATCAGGAATGTCTTTGGGCCTTATAATTTCTTTGGTGTAAGCCTGATTATATGTGCTGAGACTCCAGACGTGATGGGCGAGCTTGTGTAGGTGCAGCCATCAAGGACTGCTCAAATTCCAGATGCTGTGACATCCTGTTTTGCAATGTGCACCCTTCCAGGCGCAGAAGTGCCTCGCCTTGTGGGCTCCACGGGCCTCCTGGAGCAGTTGTGTTGGCACCTGTGTGTGGCCAGGGATGGGTCCAGCCCGGTGCCTCTCCAGTTCTGGTCATTATCTGTCTTGGTGTTTGGTCGTCCTCTTCTCCTTTTCTGTGCTAGTCTTATTGCTAGTGGTCCCAAGGAGATAAAGGAAACTGCTTACTGCTTATATTTCTTGCTTGATATAGTAAACTTGCTTCTAGACAGGGTCTGAATCAAACTGATACAAATGAAGCTCTGCGTTGGGTTGTGTTGTCATGAATTTTTTATTTTCCTTTTTTTTGAAGTTTCTGATTCAAGGTAGTTGGCATAACGGAAAGAGCACAGGTTTGGAGTTGGATGGACTTGAGTTCAAAATGCAGTTTTCTGCATTTTGGAAAATCATTTACCTTCTCTGAGCCTTAGTTTTAGTATCTGGAATGATGGCCTGGGAGGTTGTGGGGAAAGAGATGATGGATATAAACACAGCCAGCATGTATGTCCTTGGTGCAGAATGGATGCCCAGTACATGTCGTTGTGGTTGTTATTTTTTTCCTTCCATAGATGATGACTTCCTGTTTTAGAGTTAAGATTTGCTAATTTTCCCTCTCTGGCAAGGAGGTAATGTTCTACAGAGAAACATTTAAATCTAGAAGGGGATTGCTACTGAAAGCTCTCAAAAGTCTAAGGTAGCACAACCAGAGGCACTTACAACTAGAATATACAACTACGTACTGGGGGGCTTTGGGGAGAAGAAGGAAAAAAAAAAGTCTAATGTATTATGAAGTGTTTCACATGTCATCAATTCCTCATTTCTTTCCTGAGGACACCTCTTCCTGTGGCAGGTTTCTGAAATTGGGGATATTTGTAAATAAGAAGTTCTTTCAGAAGTGTAATCAGAGAGGACTTTACAGTGCCTGTCAGAAGGGTTAGGAAGAAAAGACAAGATCAGAGAAGGGCAGCTTGATCACTTATGTCTTTGAATATGAAGAGCAAAGAGGTGCTTTTTGAAAGTAAAGACAGTGTTAGCTGCTTGAGTTTTGCCCATAAAGGTTTTAAGA